CTCCTTTATATTGATTTGTAATATTTCTATTTTATTTAATACATTTTGATATTATTCTGCTCTCCAAGTTACTAATTTATTAATTACAGTATCTGATAGTGCCTGGACAGGTGTTTTAGCAAAATGTGGATCCTTTGGTCTTGGTACAACTACTCTTGGACTTTTACTTCTTCTTATTCTCAGTTTTTTAACTCTTTTTGGCTGCTTAATTCTACCAATTCTTCTTCTTGTTCTTGCAGTACATGAATCACTTGTAATGAAAATTAAATATATTATCAACAAAATAATAAAAGATTTTATAATTTGCAGACGCATTTTCGAATATATTTTTTTTTGCGGTCTTTCACTTTTAATGTATCTTGTTACTCTTGTTGTTTTACCAATTGATAATAATATTACCAAAAAGAAAACAAAAAAATAAAATCACATTTTTAACTATTAAAATCAATACGTAGAACTCAACTATTTATACAAAAAATATAAATAGAACCATTAAGAATTTTTTTTCTGTTTCTTTATAAATAAATCAAACCTCTATGATTTTCTATTCATAATAATTTTATTAGAAATTATCATTGTTTTATCTATAATAATCTTTGGCGCTACATATTTCTATAAAGAAATTTTTGAATTCATTTCAATCTCAGGTCTTAAACAAATTTTATCAACTGTAATCACAAAAGCTATTACTTTTTTTATTTAATTTGTTAAACAATATCAATAAAAGTGGTTTCAACTAAACGAAAAAGAAAAATGGGTACTAAACCTAGTAATAAAAAAAAAACAACCAAAAAAATAACAGCTAAATCAACAATAAAAAAAACAAAACCTAGAAAAAAGATAATATCTAAAACAACAAAAATATCCAAAACAATAAAAACAACAACACCAACAATAGTAAAAAAAAATAATATAAAAAAAAATAAAAATTGTAATAATAGTTGCAGGTGTTGCTATACAAACGAACCAGGACCCTGTAGTTCAAGTTGTACTTGTTGTTTTTCTGCTACAAACAAAAATATATATACAATAGGATTAATAGAATAAATGGCTAGACCACAAGTAAATTTTTGTATACCAATAGGTGAACAATTAACAGAACTAGAAAAAGCTTGTGGAGTAAAAGATTATTCAGCTGAACAAGTAAAATATAATTCATTAATTCAAAGAAGAAGCCGAAGAGCCAATCTTAAAACACTTGCTACTACTGCAGATGGAAATAATACTTTACTTAGATGGCCTCAACTTTATTACGCTTTTACTTTATTATTTCAAGATATAAATTTTAATGTGAATACAGGAAATAAACTCATGTTAGATTTCTATCAAATCTTACGTGTAAATATCTTTGGTCATGGAAATAATACATTAGATTCTCTTCAAGCTGATGGTACTGAACAAGGACTTTTAAAATATCAATTTCCATTAGCTCAAGCACAGGAGGTGTAGATGCTGATGATATATATACAATCAATTCAATTAGAAAAGATTTTCATATTAAAGCAATAATTCTTCAAGTAGAAACTAGTTATGAATTATCTATTAGTTAAGCACAAGTACCAAATAATAATCATTTACCAGCAGAAAATGTATTTGAAGATCTTAATGATGTAATTAATAGTCCAATTAAACGAAATTATAATGTTGTATATGATAAAATCGAACAGTAGAATGTTAAAATGTAACTATGAAAAAATATTTTGTTTTACATGGAGAATTGAAAAACAATGGTGCATTACTCGTATATCTAATGTAGATGGAAACGCATTTGTTCAATTTAATACTGAATTTTTTTGGTTCATAACTGTATTAGATATTAATAAATCATTAAGGTATTTAAAATATATAACTGATCAAGATAAAGAATCTAGATATAATCTTGGTACCACTTTTGCACCAGGACAAAAAGAAGAATTTTTAAGAGAACCCTGTGAAACTATATTAGAATTAAATCAATTATATAGATAGATTGATCTTAATCAAAATTCTGCTTTGAAAGCTTATTGAACCTAAAAACTCTTTCCGTAAATCCCTTACACAAACTTAAATAAAAATTCGTGCATCATAAAATCGCCCATATCTCAAT